GTTGTGCGACCCTCACCACACTCTGGTGAAAGTGATTAAATAAATACGTTCTCGTTGCCGTAGCCGTCGTGGTTTGCTTAAAGTCCCAATATTATCAGTGACCAGTGCACTGACTGATAACCTTTCAGTGTACGCCTTATGATCATGAATGCAAGTGAAAGTTGAAGATTGCTTAATATTATTAGTAAGTAGAAAGATTGTACCATTGCGAATGAATAAAGGCTGATAGTTTCTAAAGAAACTGTTTGGGGCTGCGTCGGTGGGAGTAACGAAATAATTTGGATATATCAACAAAGTTAAAAAGGTAAATTGGCCACCTTAACGATTACAAAAGCTGACGTTTCGAGCGTTAGCCGTTCGTCGGCGCGAAGGGCTCCGACGAAGCTCCGACGAAGGGCTCCGACGAAGGGCTAACGCCCTAAGCGTCAGCTTTTGTAATCGTCGCGGTGGCCAATTTACCATTTCAACTTTGTTGATATATCCAAATTATTTTGTACCATTGCGGCCTTCTTCATTTCCTCGAGAAAATTAAAAATGAATCCCAATAAATCGAGATTTTTGACATGTTTGACTATCTTGTTGATGCTACTACAGAGAACTGAACAGAAAAACGTGCGATAGTGTCTCGTTTAGTCACTGAGATCACGTGACTTACTATTTATTTCAATGGTGTCACAAAATCGGTATTGATATCGATATCGAAGAAAAAAGTAAACATCGAATCGACTCCAAAAAGTCGAATCGGCCCATCCTTAATTAACTGGAATAAACGCGCTCACTCAAACCAAAGTATAATACAGTGTATGTGGCGCGTTTTTTGCCAGCCAAAAGGGACGTTTGTTTACTTTTTTGTGCGTTGTGAGAGAGTTTACACTGTATCATAATAAAAAAAAAAAAGCTTCTTCGCACAGATCCTTATTGTCGCTCTGTTATAAAAGAATTTGTTCATGCTTTAAGTGGTGCGTATATCGAGCTATGGATGCATGCGGGAAGTTTGGAGAGCCCTCGAATAGCTCGAGTCGCTCTCGGTTGCGCCTCCAGCTACTCCTAAGCATTTTTCGTGCTCTCCAAACTTCCCGCGTGCATCAATAACTCGAAATACGCACTGTAAGCATCAACAAATTCTTAAATCGTTAATCACAGGCCAGGAACAAAGTAAGTTTGTGCTAGCGGTTTGGTAGGTTTTAATCTTAACAGAATTGAATCCCCCAATTCTAATATCATTGCCTCCCTTGCCTAATTACTAGCGACTAAATACAGGAATGGCTCCGACCTGTAATTGGATGATAAAAATAGTAAAAGTTAATAAGTTATATCTTAACTCCTTGCACGTGAGTATTTCCTTTTTTCAGGTATAGTAGAGTTGTTAAAAATTGCCAAGCGAAATTAAAGTAATCCGCGACTTTCTTCCNAAGTAATTTACAGTATGCTCTGCTGGAGAAATGTGGCTTGGCCGCAATCGAGGGAGTTTTCTTCGTAAAACATTGACTGGGAAGAGTACCATATCACCCCATACATTAATTATGCATTCAGACTAGTAGACTTTGTTTTTAAAGTTTTGTCGTGAAAGACAAAGAAGTGGAATGCACAATTAATGGTGAGGTTACATGGTACTCTTTCCCCATTGACTTTCTTGGAAAATTGTTCACATGAAAGACAAATCCATTCATCGGGCTCCTCGTCAATTTTTGCACAACACCGAAAGGAAGAAAGTCGCGGATTACTTTAATTTCGCTTGGCAAATTTTAACAACTCTACTGTACCTGAAAAAAGGAAATACTTACGTGCAAGAAGCTGAGATATAACTTATTCACTTTTACTATTTTTATCATCCGATTACAGGTCGGAGCCATTCCTGTCTTTAGTCGCTCCAATTGGAGCGACTAAATACAGGAATGGCTCCGGTCTCTGATCGTTCGCCTGAACTGAGCCCAGACTGACCAATTGAGTTTAGTCAGAGGAATTTGTCAGCGGATAACTTAGTCATCGCCGGATCACCGTTGAACTACCTCGCAGAACAAGAAAGGCCCATCCCCTCGTTATGTAAGTAACCATTTCTTGTTTGACACATCAGTGTTTTCGCTCGCATTATTATTTCACTGTTCCGCTTGGAGACACACAGTTAAACAATAGTCACGTGCAAGGAGTTAAGATAAATAACTTATTATTACTATTTTTATCATCCAATTACAGGTCGGAGCCATTCTTGTATTTAGTCGCTAGTTTATGACTATTCATAACTGAGCGGTCATTTTGATACATTCTGTTGTCACGCCATCTATTTAATAGGTACAAGAAAACATGGCTTCCGTCCTTGTGGCAATTCGCAAGCGCTGCGGTCCCTGCCTGGCTTTGTTTGTGTTAGTTACCATTCTACTCGTTTATCATGTTATTTATCACGTGAGAGATAAGCATAGAAGAGAAATAAGATTCCTGACGTACAACATTTGGAAGTCCCCTTTAAAGATGCGAGATAGGATGGAAGCGCTCGGGGAAATTGTACAGGATCTCGAGCCAGATGTCATCACATTTCAAGAAGTCACGCTAGACAACCTGGCAGTTCTGAGAGAACAGCGCTGGTTTTCTCGCTACCACCTTATTCCTCAAGGCGTTTTTAAATCCGATGGAAAACATTTTGTCATTATTTTGAGTGTTTTTCCCGTTGAGAAATGGCTAGTTCATCCATTCTCAAATTATAACGATTCAACATCGGACCGAAGACTTGTTTTCGCAGAAGTAAGGAACACCATTCCTTCTTCAGATGTTATTTTTGGCTTTGCAGGAACACATTTGGCATATCGTCGCTTCGACTCTATTGAACGCGAACAACAGTTGAAAGAATCATTTCACATTATCTCTCCTAACGACAACGTTTGTGTCATGGGAGATTTGAACATCCATGATGATGTTGACGGCGAAGTTGTGATGCCACCGGGTTGGTTTGATGTTTGGCTATCGATATCCGGAAATTTCAACAAAAATGGGTTCACGTCCGATCGGGAAAAAATGTCAATAATGAAAGGTCCTGCAGTTAATGCAAAGAGTCACAAGGCGCGCTATGATCGTGTCTTTTGCAAGCTATTGGATTTCAAGGTTAAAGAAATGAGAATTGTTGGCGATGAGGTGACAAGAACCGGTATATTTCCTAGTGATCATTTCGGTCTATATGTAGTCATTGAACACATTGAGAAACCTGGACATGAAAAACAGGAACAAACATCACAAACTGTGAATCAAGTTTATTTTAAGAGACCAAAAGGCTGGGAAAAATTAATTGTCAATAGGTAAGTGATAATTGAGGCTAGTACCTTCGTGTTACCTGTAGTTCAATTTTCTGTCATTGTATTTGTATTATAAGAAGTATGTTAAAAAATACTCTAAAATATTGTTAGCGCCTCTAGTTTGTAAGTATTATTTCCAGAATTAACACTGTAAGTATAAGGCATGGCTATTTAATTCATCACCGATACAGTCATACTGCTTGTTAAATGCAACTGTGGAAAAGAAACAGATGTATAGATCAGAATACTACATCTTACACCGTTTTTTTTTCTTAATTCTTAATTTAGTTCTTTTTTACTTGGGTTTGCCGTGCATGGAACAAATTAACTCTCAGCATTAGGGAGTCTAACACCTTACCAGCCTACTGCAAGAGAATATTTAATTATTTTTAGGTTATTAAGTTCAGTGCCAATTTCTTATTGCAAGAAATTACTTAATTTTTTTATGATAACCTCAGTGTCAATTTTTATCATAATTTCCTTATCCCTTTTATGAGTTTAGAGCAGTATTTTTTTAACTAATTTTTTAACCAGGTAAATAATTGAGGCAGCTAATTGTGAGGAATCTTGTATTCTGTTTTAAGCTGTTCTCAAATGGATTGAATTGACTTGTGCAATTTGACCAAATTGTAATTTGTATTAAAGATTGGAATTTGTATTAAGTCTGGAGAGGACTATAAAGGACTACAGAGGAATGTTGAACAATATTCTCTACTTCTGCTTCCTTTCCTTTTGGCTGCTGAGGGAGGCACAGCAGGTGTGTCCAACTGTCCACCCCTTCCTCAGATGCTGTTCCTGCTGTTCCTTGTCCGGTACTTGTTTCATTTTTCAGAACATCTCATACAAGGCACTCACATTCATCTTACGGGATACAAAATTATGTTTTGAATGAAAAATACTTTGCTTACCTGGCTCTCAGTTGGTAAAGACACAAAGAAATTGTTCAATTCCTAGACAGCTGCACCCTTTTTTCTGTTTGATTGGTTTTTTTGTTTTGTTTGTTTTTTTTTTTATAGAACAACAACAACAACAACAAAAAAAAACAATGAAGTATTTTTTCAGTTTATTGCCATCATTTGAGAGACACTTATATTAAGCTTAAATGCAGCTTTCAATAATTATGTTAAAACAATATTTTCATCCCCTCTTCCATTTGTGTCTTCCCTTACACAATGTAACAGGCCACTCTTGTTTAGGTTGAACAACCAGAACGAAGCTGAAGTGGTGACCGGTGAATCCACAATTGTTTAAAGTGATTCAATGATATTTCTGTTTTGCTAGCGAGGATTAACTAACCACGGTTCTAAACAACTCCATTTCTTTCACCAGCTTTGTCAGTCACTGTACTTTTCACAAGGGAGGTTGAATATGGTTCAAAATCTAAATTACAGCAAATTGTGTTAGTGATATAATAAACAGTTATCCCTTACAATCAAACAAAGATATTTACCCAGTGGTGTCTCGCAGTTTCTCAATTTTTCTCATATTAGCAAATGACTCAAGTTGCATAATCACGTCTATGACGTCACCTAACAAATTCGAATTACAAATTGTTGGCGATACATTTTCTGTTTGGCTCCTTGAGAGTTAGAAGGGAAGATGAGGAACTCGTAGCTCTGAAAGAAGCCAAAAATTTGTTATCCTGACACCAGTCTTTTCCATGTTATTTTTCTCCATTGTCACAGCTCTAATGGGTCAGCGGACACTGCTATGAGAATAAACATCTGCAGCTGTTTTCATCTTTGAACGAAGCATAGCGATTTTGAGGGAACCTGCAAGTTTTCTAACCACATGCTGAAAATGGAAAATCCGCAAAACGCAATTAATGACAAAACCGAAAAACCAACGTTTATTTGGCACAAAAACCAAAAAGCCGATCTAAAAGATAGCCAAAACTGCAAAACCGCAATGCCCCCTTCGGTCAGTATCAATTCCTGGAAACTCTAACGAGAGGAACTGCAAATGCAACAAGTTACCAAACTCGCCTTGATCAAGTTTGAGTCCAGTAGACTGTCGGCCTTCCAATTAAAGACATGAGAATTGCTGGCAATGAGGTGACAACAAGCAGTATACTACCCAGTGATCATTTTGGTCTTTTTACCGTCATTGAACACATAGAGAAACCTAGAAATGAAAAACAGAAGAAAAACAACTCTAACTCTGAAGCAAGTTTATTTTAAGAGACCAAAGGGTTGGGAAAAACATTAATTTAATAATAATACTTGGAAAAAAGGAATGGTTACAAAAGGTCATTGAATTGAAAATGGTACCCTTTAGCTTATTGTCAAGAAAAAGTGATAACCATTAGTAAACACTTGTCAAAGAAGTGACATGGTCCTGTTTGTGAGTAACAAACTTGCATAGTATCCACTCCAGACATTCCCTTAATCCAGCACCCTTTACTTGAATAAACACTGCATACCTTGTTTTTTATCAGTGAGAGCATGAAGAGGAGTATGAAGAATCACAAAGGATTCTCCCTCTAACAGTATTTTAACTGCTAAGAGGAGCATGGCTAGTAGTTCATGCCTTTGTCAATAAAATTAAAACTTGAGTGTTGAGTTACCAATTTCTTGTACCAAGATCTAGGAAATTTGTTCTTTTGTTCTCATAAATTGAAATTGTTTGTATGACAAGGACAAGTATTTTTTTGCTTGTTGTCAGTTTGCCTGTGTCACATGATTTGGAAAGTTGACTGAACTATGGGGCATTGCTTGTTCAAAGAACAGATAGTGAATTTATTCAATAGAGAAGTTAATGCAGCATAATAATGCTCCAATCATTTTGAAGCTTCAACATTCCCTCTCCCTGGCAACCCACGGGCTCCCCTCCCCCCTCCTCCCCAGGCAACAGACAGACATTTGACCATGATCTTTCATGCCTGGGGGTGGGGAATTTAAACCTTGCTTAGCTGAAGTGGAAAATTTGAACCAGAACTTTCAAATCTTTCCAGCAGATTATCACTGTAATATCATTAATTATGGAGGTGCTTAAGGTAAATGTTTGTGAATTAATGACTCAGAGGAAGAGTTCCCCCCTGCCCAGGACAACCCACAGGCTCCCCTCTCCCTTCCCCCCAGGCATTTGACAATTATTCATGCCTGGGGGTGAGGAATTTAAACCTTGCCTGTCTGGAGTGGGAAACTTGGGAAATTCAATAAATGTCGTTAGTTGATGAAGCAAATAGTCCCAAGGTCAAATGACCCCCTCATTGTCGAGAGAAAGTGACAATCCAAAGTGATTATATGATCTCCACTGCCCCTTATTTCAATTACTATCTTTTCAATGACAAACTTGTGTAGTACCCTCACTGGAGATAATTCCAAGGAGGGGATAGTAGCACATTCTTGGCCAATAATTTAATATGTAACTTTATCTTGCTGTTTTCCCTGGAATCTCATCATGAGTTACGAGCCTCAGAAAATAAATGACAATTGTTCAACAGCGAGCAGGGAATGTTATAACATAGCGCCCGTGCTTGCTCTTAGTCCTATTGAACCGCTGTGAACAAAATCTTTATTTACACACGCCCGTGTTTAAATAAGATGATGTGAGCTTTTTTTATTTTTACCTGGCTTTAGAGTTGCTGTCCTGTTAAGCTGCAGTGCAGTTTTCCTTCTCTTTAAAATATTGAAGAAACTAGTGAAGAACTGCCCAATTTTTCTATCAACATTGACCTTTTAGGTCCTGATCCAACAAGCAGCTGGACGGCCTTACGGCAAAGCACCATACTACCTAGCAAGTTTTCAGAAGGAATTCAGTACCAAGTCGTTACCTTAGGGATACAGATGGCCTTCCTCCAGACCACAGCCTTCAGTAGATTGTGATGCAGAAGCATGTCATAATCCATCTCACGCATCTATCCAGCGACTGTCCTGTGGCCACACCTTTCATACTCTGAGCATGTCTGATGAGGGTGGCAACAGTCTTGGATGCATCATATGTCTCCCCAACCTGATTTCTGATATTCAGAAGCTGTCTGAGGCATGGAATAAAGGATTATTGTCAGGTATTGATGGAGATGATGGTGGAGGAGAAGTACA